ATACGTGTTAGAATTAGCTGAGTTTCAAAGAACTTGTATCAGTTGCACTAGAATCTAGCCCCTCAGAAAGCAGCAAAACAACATTACTGATCAGTCTGAATTGTTGTCTCTCTCCACCTCTCAACTCTGCCCCACCCCAAGTGTTCAGGTTCCATCAGGCTAAAATAGATCTCTGGTGGGTAACTTCTCAGCACACTTTTTTTTTTTTTCTCCCGCACCCCCCGCCCCTTCCCTCTTGGTATCAGAGAGACCTGCATACCCCAGCACACTAATCACTGGGTTCAGGCTGGACTAGCAATATGCCCTGTGGAAAAACCTCTAAGCATATGGGTTGAAAAGTTAGTACTGTTCGAAACCAGGCATGTATAGCAGCAGCTGTCTTACTTGGCATAGCTTTTGTCAAGTTTTCTGGCACAAATTCCACAACCACAGACTTCTAATGGCCGCTGGTATCAATCAACATGCTTGGACTAATTCTGAACATAGAGCTTCACATTTCAAGCAGTTTCACATTTTAACAACTATTTTAAGTCAATAAGGCTGATCTAATACACAAGAACATGCTTGCTGCTAGCCCAGCGGCATGGCAGCTTGCCTACTTTGCTGCCAGCTCAGATACCAGGAAAAGAACAGTGGAAACCAGATCTGCTTTAAGGACAGAACACATTCAGCTGGCCAGGGAGAATGCCAACTACAGTATCATGTTTAACTCTTAAACACTAATGACTGATTCATGGCAACAACCCCAAAGGGAAATACTCACCTGCTATTTCAGCAGTACATAAAGCGCATTTTCAGGGGATATTTTTTAATGCTATCTGCAGGAATTCTGTTTTGTAACTCCATGCTATTAATAAATCTTAGCATCTCAAACAGAAAATTTACACCCCTTCCTAAATCTCTTTTGAAATAGAGGGGGAACAGAAACCTTATTTGAGATGCAATAAGTAATAAGACAAGGAATACCAAAAGAAAAGAGTAACAATATCTTTCATTTGAGGCAATGATAGGCACAGAACTACTGGGAGAATAAAGCTGTAAAGCCTTGACTATGGAGATTCCCCCGGTATTCAGTCATATTGACGTTGCAGCTGTGCCTGCACAAATTCTGTGTCCCATCCCCAGCAAGAAAAAAAGAAACTGGTTTGAAAATATTCTAAAAATCCTTTCCCTTATTTTATTCTTCAGTACATTTTCAACACTTACTGCCTGAGCTATTGGCTGCCATCTCCACATAATCTGTTTCATAAAAGACAGAGGAAGAAAAACTATTCTCCGGCAGATTGCCAGAGACACTGCAAATGGTACCTTGCACTGAGCTTAACACCTGAACACGTAACCCTTGCCTGTGCTATTATTACAGTACAGAAATCTGTAGTTCTTGATGAACAATGCACAGCACAGTAGGAAAAAACCCCAACCATTCTAATTTTGGGTAGAAAATAAATGGAAATAATTTTCAATTTCATTCTGAACATCTAGTGTTTCTAAGAATAGTGCATGTACTGGACAAGGCATGCCTGAGTAGTCTTGCCCTTAAATACCCCGAAGGCAGTGAGAACACCAATAATGAAGAATTTGAAAGTAGATGTGCCCCATGGAATTCTCCCTTTGCTAACTCTGCACAAATTTCAGCCTCTGTGGCAGAGTTTCTTACCTGTTTATAAAGTGCTCTCGGTCAGGTGACAAAACATATGAAGAGAGCAGGTCAGAAAAAAATATCAATCACATACACACATTGAATATAGACACTAATCCTCAAAGATTTTTACTAAGAAAGGATAATCTTAAGTATCTGGTACAAACACATACATGAAAATCTTGCACCTATTGCAGCTGAGACATTTTTGCTGTTGACCATCACGAAACAACAATTTCAACTATGGCATCTAAAACCCTTGTATTCCACCAGACAAAATTTGCCTTTTAAAACTGGAATTACCAGCAGAAATGCTTTCAAGTAAATTCAGTTCTAATCCTGACAGTGTTTGAACTGGACAGCTGGAAAAAATCTAGCTACACAGATATTGCGACACTGGAACAGGTTACTCGGGTTGCAGAATCTCCATCCCTGGAAGTTTCCAAGACTTGGCTGACTGATCCACCATTGGCAGAAGTTCTATCTTGAGCAGGAAGCTCAAGAATGACTAAATGACCTCCAAAGGCCCCTTACAACCAACATTTCTGTGATTCCAGGTAGGCAGCTACGTGACATAAGTTGAGCTTCCGAAACATTAGGAGAAATGACGCTGCATACAGACTAAGCTGTTGAAGAGAAATCACTAGACAGAAAATCCATGAACCAATGTCTCTCATCTCTATTGGGTAGAAAGACCCTCTTCTGGAATGGCAAACAGAACCAGCAAGCAAGCTACGTAACTTCTAGCCTTGTGTCTGGGGCAAGTGCTGAACTCCAGTGAACTCAGATGTTGAGGGATTCCTCTCACTCTTGCAGAAAAAAAAAAGGGAATCTCCTACTGCAAGAAAAAAAAAAAGTGTTTGCAGCATTTTTTGCAGACAACTTAAGATGAAAATGAAATTGGGAACATTTTTCAGCACTGAAAAATAAAAACACTACATTGAGGAATATTCCAATAAAAAGATAGTGTTTACATAAGTTTGCTTTGTTACTTTGCTTTCTATCTTTCACTCAGCACTCTCATTTTTGTTAGAGAACATGACCTCACAAAATAAAACTTGAAAACTGGGGCACAGACACAATACTGTCTTGGGAAGCCACTTTTAGGAAAAAAATACAAGGTTATTCATTGCTTTGTTAAACAGATTTTTAAAAATGGCAAATTCGTAGTCACTTTATAATTGCACAATTCCTCTCAGTGCAGAAAATCAATCAAACGAACTATATTTCAGAACTGAGCTAAATCTCAGCATGAAAAGTTCTAACCACTCTGGATACTCAGCTCTGGGAGACTGAGAAGTCTAACATTTCTTCCAAATGAATCCTGTGCTATTGACTGGGATCCCAATCCTTGAGCTCACTTTACTTTATGAGGTAGCTCTGTTTTGGAAATACGATAAATTTCAACTAAGTACCAATTAGCACTCGCAAGGCTTAGGCCAGATTAACAGCAGGTAAACCGAAGATTTTTTTTTTTTTTTTATTGTCCTCCTTGCTTTAATTTTTTTTTTCCTTTGTGAACAGGAAACGTCTTGGGATGTGTTGGTCATATGCATATTCTAATAAGATAAAACACAGCAGCAGCTTTTTCCAGCCCACCTTGAAAACAGGTGAAAGAGCAATTTAGTGAGGATTTAGTGTACCAATTTTATCAAACAGATGAGTAAAAACAAAAGCAGCAAAGGTGAAATGTTTCCGAGACACTCTGTATAGGAGATTAATGTTCTGTCTGTGACCAGGACAGAGTTACATAGTCAGACACTGGTCTGAGTAACATGAACTGAAAGAGAAACATACTGCACAAAGCCTTGCTATCTGAAATGGAAATTTCCTCACTGCAGAGCACACCTGCTAATGTCATGACAATTGTCTGTTAAGATGAAGGCACTGTCACTGTCTCCCATAGTGAAATCATTATTCAGGGAAACTCATTGTGGTGTGAAACACACAAGCTATCAGCTCAGAAGCATTTTATCTGTAAAGACAGAGGAGTCTAAAATAAATGGGCATTTGCTGGTGTTGAGAAAGACTCAAGACCTGAAAAGGTATGAAATCGTTAATTAGGGAGCCTAAGCAAGATTCTAGCAGATGCAGAAAAAAAAGCTACATGAGGGTTTTATTACACAAACACATAGGTGTAAATTCTCTTCTTACACCAACCCTCTGTTTTCACGCTTCTTTCAAAGCAAATCTTGGTAGAGCTGGAGCATGAGAAGAAAGACTGATTCCAGATGACTCTGCAGAACAGGCGATCTGAAATTCCCACTGCACCCTGCAGACTCTAGATATCCCAGCAATACTGTTGCTATTTGTGCTGCACCTTTCAAAAGCAGAAGCCAAGCGCACATACAGCATCTTTGATCCTGGTGCAGCTTGTTGCTTAATTCAGTCTCAACCCATTATTCAGAGGTACTGAAAAAAATTCTAATGAAATTGAGTCCTTCTGCCAAAAGGATGACTGATTTCCTGCATCAGCGCTATGTGATTGCAGTGATCATTTTACAAGGCAGTATCGCTCTGGTCTGACTGGATCCGAGACTAACCACAAAGTATTCTGTCCTCAGAAGATTTATCTTTCCATCCTAAAAGAATAATTTTTTCCAGTACCTCAGCAGTTGTAACGAGATACTGAATTGGAGAAAAAAGAACTTTCTCTAATTGCATTAGAGAAAAAGACAGTCAGATAACAGAAATATACCTCTGTTATTTTAACAAACAGCTGCTATTTATCCCCTTTGACTAATACACTTCATTTAGTATTCCGTAAACCCATGATTTGAAAGTAGTGCTCTTCAGCTAACACTATGAAGTAAGGCTACAGTATTGATGTCTTTAAAGAGTGTTAAGAAATAAGAGAACTCCCAGAAAAAGCAACTGCCATTAAATCCAGGCTGTGCACTTGTACCTGTCTCCGTTTTCTGTGAAATGGAATAAGAAGTTTCAGTCCTGGTCCCCATGTGCCCACATTCCCAAAATTCCTCTTGACCTTGCGCTAGTAGTAAGCTCTCTTCTTGAAAGTTTAAGCTAATACCATATCATAAGAAAGGAGAGAGAAAATTCTGAAATTCTCCTTGCGTGCTCCCTTAACTGCGTGGATGAAAAGAATCCCAAGCAAAATGAATTGTGATCCTAAGCACAACCAATCACTAACAGACAAGGTCCATCTCACTAGCGGTACATTCACTGCAGATTCTTACAAATAGATGGAGCAGTATATGGAAAGCTGAAGTAACAAGCAGATACATGAATGCTTTATTAAGGGTTATATTCTATTGTTACTCTTCAATTCCTCTGGCTCTTTTGCTTTGTTAAGTTAGTTTTACAGAAGCTTTTGCAGAACTAGCATATCACAAATACTTACATTTGATGCTGGTCAACCTACTTTTGGGCACAGAACAGTTTACAGCTGCTGAAAATATGAAAAAAAAAAAAAAGATTCAATATCTATTTAGTATTTGTGGTGGCTAGAAAAAAGTAGCAATACACCAACACAGAACAAAGACTAATTTAATTAGGACACAGCAACTTTTCTCTATTTTAAAATATGCTAGTTACTGTGTATTTAAAGTATTAGACTGATATCCATGCAGTCAGAGAATTTTTGAGACAAAGATGTTAAAGTAAAACATGTATTTGAAGGAAAATTCATCATTTAAATGAAGATTCCTTATAAAAGGTTTCTATACACTTTTTGCTGATGACATTTAACTGCACACCTGAGGATACGGAGTATGCTACATGGTAGAGAGATGACAGTATATTTGTGAGCATGGACTCTGGCAGAATGCGAAGCCCCAGTGTGCCTCTCTTTAAAGCACACATTAAGAAAAGGAGCGATGATGAGGAGAATCAGCAGAATCACTTCCAAAACCCTATTTCTGAAAATACCTAGAAAAAGAGCGTACAATGTTTTGGGAGGCATTAAAAAAAACATTTCTCTCGTAACTCATAAGCCACAAAGTTCTATGTGTTTAATTTAAACACTCAGGACATCCTGCCAAGCCCTAGCATTAGTATCTCTAGGACTGAGATTCTCAAGACGAGTTTATGCAATGAAGAATTAAAACACGCTTTGAACTGTAAACAACATTAACAACTACCTACAGAGTTTCCTTAGCTCTATGCATGATAACAACTTTTTAAACACAGTACTTCATACTCCTTATGTGACCTTAAAAAAAATAACTTTGGCTGTAATATAGTCTGTTTTCAGTCATGCACTGACAATGGGTTATCGTCAGTTCATAGTGGAGTAAACACACATTTCTAAATTTGAAAATTTTTTGATCAGGATCTCAGCATAATTAAGAAATATACAAACATGTACAAGTTCAAAAGGCTTTTAAGTTCCAGATTATACAAAATTTGTCTTTTGATAAATATAAGTACCTTCTAACATTAAAATACGTGCAAAAAATCATAGACTTATTTAGTGCCCAATAATACAGATTAGTAACATGATTTTCTCATTTGCAAACACACAGGGCAATTTTCAAAGTCCTTAAAACTACCTGGTGCCACTGACTGAAATATGAACAAAAGAAAATGAACATTTTCAAACAAAAAAAAACAAAAGAAAAAAAGAAAAGACACCGTGGTCTGAGCTTAACTGAAAATGGTCTGCATGAATTCCTAAAATAAATTCTGTATGCTTACTATTGTGACTATCTCCATGATTTTCATTTCAGGATATTATTTCATAATTTGTTTTTTCATCAAAAGCAAAATGAACAGGATACAGCACAAAGCACCCTAAAATTAAAATAAGCACTTAAGGAAAATGTTTTCATACAAAACTTCCCATTCCAATAATACAAAAGTATTATTAAGTAGCAGCCATATCTCCTTGCTGGCATCAGGAAGAAACAGGAAGAAAACTACAGTTCCTACAATCCATTGAATTTTCTCTTGATATGAGCTTATTCTGAAACAATGAGCTAGCTCTGCGGGTAGAAAGTTCATTCATATATGCACATTTTTACCTTTGGCTGAAAGGATTTTGTTATAATGAAACATCATGTGATCTCTGATCAGGTACTGGCTAGTCAGACTTTGGGAGGAGTCAATGCAGAAAGCTGTCAGATTAAAATACATTTAAACATTGTAAAGACAGGCACAAGGATACTAACATCTTAAACACTTATTAAAAACGCAATTCAAAGCCACAAACTTTAAATTCTTGCGTGCTTAACTTCTTTGCCCAATGGCAGTCATTTTTCTTTAGCAGTTACTATCACATGAAATCATCCTGTCTCCTTTCAGTTTTGTTTTCCCCAGTGAGCCATTAACTCAATAAATAGCTACAGAAGTGGCTGAAGTTGGACTATGCAAGTATCAGCATGGAAACTTTCTGTTTCTCCATTCCATGCTCTTTTGAAAAACGTGTCTGAGGTAGCAGTGTGGCACAGAAACATATACTAGCTCATGTACACTCTAAAGGAGCATGTTTAACCTCAAGGGATCTTTAAAGCAAGTAACCATATCTCTATTCCAGCGAATATACATGTGACATCTATATATATTTGGTATATTTGGATATCTTGCTGTTTCTAGCTAGCAGTACAGTCAAGGCAAAACTCAAAGGTATTTTCTGTAATGCTTACTAAACGTAATTACTATTAAACTTCACCAATTGAGATCAACGCAAAGGTTTTAATTATAAAAACATTTTAACAATAAAATCAATGAATTCACATAAAAGGAACCATGCCAACCTTCTGATGAAAGTACACGTGCTACTTACCATTACTCTTAGTACTCAAGTGTCCTTTAAATGGACTTGCTGGACCACATCTGGGAATGCAAACAGCTGGGTATTCACTCCCTTCAACAAAGTGTCAAACAAAACAAACATTAGAAAAAAGAAAATGACCATTTGACACACAAGACAAAGCAGAGAATCTTTCCCCAAACAACTCACGAATTACTGTAGTGCACCTTTTTCAGAGGAAAAAAAATCGTATTTAAACGTTATACTACTACCAAAGCACAACAGTGTAGTTAAGTAATTTAATCTAAACACCAAGATACAATGGTAGTACTTTCACTGATTCAGGGTGTTAAATAGTGGAAGAAACCACTAGAACATTTCAGTCTGAACTTTACATTGGTCATAAACCTGCACACAGGTATGGCCACAGTTTTGTATCTATGCTAACCTCCTATTTGTTTTAAAGTTTTACTGATTGAATTTTATCATTATGTCAAACGACTAAGGCGAAAAATATTCTGTCCGTAGACAATGCTTGTTGTTAGTATTATACTAAAATGCAAGTTTAACAGATTGAAGGAATTATGCTTGTGTGAAAATCATCCTGTCAGTGAGAATACACTATTTCAAAATTCTGTTGTTAATGTAAGAGGACTTTGGTTCATTCATTCAGTCTTCTGGCAGTTCGATAGACTGGGAACTCCATAGACAAGTGTATATGCTGACAAAACATAAACAACCAGTTGGTCCAAAAAATGAAGGAATGTGAATGAAAAGCTCTACATCTCCTCCTTGAAAATAAATGCTGCACTGTCAGGCTCACAGACACTATCTCTTATGCCACCTACGACTCAAAAAATCCGAACCGGAATTCATTAAGAATCTGCACCATTTTTAGAGCAAATTTGAACAGGAGATATGCTATCACTGCAAACACTAGTGTAGACAAAGCATTCCTTTAAGGTTTCCAAGACCCTGCTTAAAATGCAAAGCAATACAAGACTTCTTCAACAAAGTAAATATACCATATTTACTTAACATGAATTACAATTCTGAGCCAATTTCTACAAATTTATTATTACTATCAAGGTCCGTATGGCCTTCCCATTCCCATCCCACTTCTCATCTGTCCATTCTAGAGTCTGCAATTGCCATGTAAGCGTTTCCTAGAAATTGGGAGGTACTACAACTCCGGGGCTGTAACTCTACTGCTCTACACTTACTGGCCACCTCCAGCTTTATACTCTTCATCAGATGAAGAAGCATGCTGGACCTACCTGTGATGAGCCGGAATCTCTTCTCAGTGGCCTTCAGCTGGGTCGACAAAGGCAGACATAATTACAAACTGACTGGGGGGTGCAAGAAGCCATGCTACGCATGTTAGAAGTCCTTTACTCCCACCTCTCATGGCTTCTTACCTCCTGCATGCCCAGCACCTGGCTTTCTAGGTTTTTTTCTTTATTTCCCGCTGTTATATACTGACCGTTACAGTACTGTTGCAATTACATCTCTAACTACTACATTCTGTAGCTCCATCTTAAGCGCATGTTGCACAAGATGGTTAACACAGTGGCTGATGACTAATTAGTAGAGATTTCAGCAAAACAAATTGTTCCTTTAATGTTTTAATATCATTTCCCGAAAGGCCTTATAAAAAGACCTTATAAATTTCAAGTGACTAGGATTATTTGGGGAAGCAACACAACGTGTCTTGAGAAAATAAATAAAATGAAAATCATTAATATATGGGGAAATTTGCAGAGTACTTTCTTGGGACTGTTGTGAAATTACACCAGATGTGGACCAATAAACTCAATCACTAACTCTTACAAAACCCAACACATATCAAGGCAATTCTGCATTAGTACGAGGATTTCACAATTAGAAAAGTCAGCCTTTACACAGCTCGGGCTTCCGCGGCTGTACAGTATTAGAGGCAGCATCTGCAATAGTAGTGCTCTCACTGCTCTTTGCTGGGAAGTTGCCAGACCAGCAGTAGCAAAGGGACAAGAAAAAAAAAAAAGGCTACTGTAGATTTTTTTCAACCCTGTCCTGTAATTGTTTTATCTTTATACTGTTTTCTTTAAAGCCAAAGGACAACACTCCCGCTTATCTGTATCAATTTCAAACAGCTTGTAAATTGTCCTCATGGTACAATGCTTCCTAATCTCTATTTGTGATTTAAACATATATAGGGACAAATGATGCTAAATTATTTTTAAAACATTAAAATTCCAAAAATACATCAGGAATTTATTAGATTTAGAATGACTGTCTCTGGAATGGCTGCAAACCTTTGTCAACAATGGCCTTCCTTCTTGTTTAAGTATTCCACTCCTCTACCATACACAATTACACCTAAGTAGTATTCAGTGTCTAGCCGGATACCCACCCTGAAACTCCTGACTTCCGGAAGTTACAATGCTCGTGTGTTTAAACAATGCAAGGCTTTGGGGGGACTTGAATCTTAGATGATAATATTTTAGCAGGTAAAAGTTTGTCCTAATGATAAAAAAAAAATATACACCAAAAGCCTAGCAGACACCTGAGAATCAGAAGGGTTTTATTCACAGTTGTTGAAAATAACCTAAATATTCCAGTATTTTCTGTATTTCAGAGCTAAGTTATAATTCCAGAAGGAGACACATACCATTAGATAAACGCTTATAAGACCACCTCTAACTCCTTTCTATGTGACAAAATCACAGAGAGATAAGCATGGGCATCTCAAAAATGCAGAGACGTTCTAACTACACAGTTGATTCTCTTCAGTAAGCTAAATGCCTTTGCCCTGGCTTAGAGATGATCAGAGATGTTCAGAAACCTGTTGCTTTTACTGTCTTCAGTTGGAGATGCATCTGTTCAGCACTGCAGGAAAACCAGACTCTGAAACGTTCACTTACTTTGCACCACCAGCAGATGGCACAGGGATAAACTCTATGGACAAACACACTGCCTACTGGTTTTCTGCTTTACAATAACTCTGTATCAGGATGGGGGGAAGAAAGCCAGCTTCTCCCCCCCCGCCCATCAAGCATCACTATTTCATAGGCAAGACAAACTGTCAGAAAGGCTCAGGAGGGAGAAATTAAAATATTTCAGTGTCTTCTATTGTGATTATGGACATGTGGACAGCACAGAAATCACTGCCAACCCACGCAGGAATCCCCAATTTGCAGAAGTCTCAAAGGCACTGGAAACACAACACTGTTTGTCAAGAAGTCATGGTCTTTGTGCAGGTGCTCGCGTCCCCTACGCTGTGTTCCCAACCTTCAGTTCCTCCTGCATGCTGCAACTCCTGTGCCACCAAGGAAGTTTCATCTCCCTGATCCAACCAGGCGGATTTGCAATCCCGCTCCTACCAACTGCAGGGTAACACCACTGCTCAATGCTTTCGCAGGTATCTTTCAACTGCCTAGGAAATACCTAGGCCATTACAATATTGCCCCTTTTTCTGGGAAGTGGAGGACCTTGAATAACAGTGTTCCTGACTGTTCACATTTTTGGATACCCTTGAAATGCCAGGGTTGCAGCCCCACTAGTACTTGGAACTGCTGAAAACTTTCATGCCATTAACCAATGACTTTTTCTTGCCATTTAGAACATTTCCTTGGCGGGCAAAAGTTTATGCTGAACAGCTTTTTTTGAAACATCTAGTTGGATTCGGGGGTTTCTATCCTGGAAAACTGCACATTTTATTATAACTTCATCTAAAGAACTAAAGTCTTTAACTTTAAAATATCTCCATAAACAGCTGAACTTGTGAGGAAGGCTTCCTATGGTCCTCCCACAGTATGCCATGGTGCTTGCTCGTACACTCTCTGACTCTTGAGCCAAGTAATGGGACACAGATATTTTTGTAACCTGTGCATCAATGAGGGCATTTGAGGCTCGCTCTCTGTGAAGCGCCTGTTTTCCCAAAACATGTAGAAAATTTATCATAGAAAAAGGGTCAAAGACACTGATTTGGCTGAAATAATGCTTAGCAGTATTGAAAACAAAACAGGCAAAGTAAACCTTTGTTTTCTCAGCATCTCAGGATGTTTCATGTAGACGTTCCATCAAACGTATTGTGTCCACACCGAATTCAACTTCTACCCACTCTGTATCCTCAGTCTGAAACTCAAACCTGATTTTATAATGGCATATATTTACCATGAAGACTCAGTTGCTAACGACAGAGAAGAAACTGAAGGATTTGGTATGTGGAGTGTATCTGATGTATTTTACTGTTCCTACAAAACAACTGCAGTGAGGTAGAAAGTGTTAATGTTCAAATGTTTCACAACTAAAATTTCAGGTTGTCTACTGACAAACAGGTATTTGATTAAATTCAGTCTGTATTTTCAAAGTTATTTGAACAATAGAAGAAACTACACTTAAACGCAAAATTTTAAATGAGAAGGTGGGATTTTCAGCAAATTACACAGTAAGCAAATACAAACCCGACAAAAGGACGGTAACTACAAAGCATAACAACTAGAGCACCTGGATAGCTACAGGAGTGATGGAAGCTGTACTGGTTTAGGACTATGACCAGAATAAAGGTAGTATGCATGTCCTTTTTTCAAAACCATGCATGAGCGAGAATTTTTTCAGCGAAAAATTTTCTACTGATTTTGATGGTTCTTAAATAATAAATTATTTGGGAGTAGGAGCACATGTCTGAACTGGACTTAGCAGAATTGATCCCAGTACTTGCAGTACTATAGCAGACTTTGCAATAATTAGGTTTCCTGAATAAAATGCACACAAAAGCTTCCAATAACAAATTGAATGTCTATGTAAATATATTTCCACAACTGCACTGGAAACACTTCAAGATAATTTTGTTTTGTTTAAGAAATTATCTTCTGAGATTTAAAACTTCAGAACCTGAGACATACAATGGACTCCTATCTTTGATATACTATACATGTAACTTTATGATCTAACACATTTCCTCACAGATGTAAGTGGACTTTCCACACTGAATACAAAATCGGGATTCTCACGCTGTGTGTCCTCTTGAAGTACAAAAAGCAAACAAATATCTCTAAAAAATAATTAGAACTTTTAGCTTCTTATTAATGCTTCTGTTTGCTTGTTTTAAGCTTCCCCTGCAAGTGTGTGACACTACACAACAAAGCAGAGAAAAAATTTAAAAAACCCTTTCTCTGTAATTCTTTCCAGCTGGTATATAAAGTAAGCAATAATTCTATTATTCCAAAGAGATTTTTAAGATATTTTGTTTGAATTATATTTTCATTTTCATTTAAAATGCATCCTATCTTTATTTCTAATTTACAGTCTTAAAAATGATGGAAATTGGTGGTTTCTACTTGTTACTTTGTTTCCTAGTTGTTAGAGGATATGCAGAATTTATGGAAATTAATTTTCTACAAAGCCATTTCAGATTTAGAACGTACTGGAAAGAAGCCCAGTCTTTCATTACAACATTCTCATAGGAAGGATTTTAACAACAAGTATTAGACTTACTATTTTTATAACAAACCTGTACTTCAGACATCGCAAATTAAAAACACTGAAAAAAAATCAGTCAGGCTACCCTCACCCACCAAGACTTGTTATTTAAAAGATAATCCATAAAAAATACAGAGACCTTACATGGGATATTGGATATAGGCATCTAAATCCAGTACTACAAGCTACAAAACCTCCACTTCAGTGTGTAGAGAGGTACAAACACTGTATTTTCCAAAGAGTAGCTCCTAGACCTTAGCATGGGTTCAAACAACCGTCAGCCCCAGTTGGATTTAGACCTCAGGTCTTCCGAGCTGTCCCAGAGGAATGTGTGCATGACTCCAAGGCACCAACCCTACCATGCATTGGTTTTTCGTGGCTCCAGGTCTCCTGCATTCCAGCTGCACTGTGGCCTTCTCTCAGCTCTAAGTGTAGGAAGCACTTCTGTCTCTAATGGTCTAGAATTGCATCATTTCCATGAGATGTGGGGATTTGATCTCCCTGAGGCTGATAAAGACTCAACCCAAGGTGACAAAACGCTTTGCAAACACTCTAGCCACCATGCTAATTTATAAAGGTTTGGTGGTGTTGCCTCTTCCACCTTCCACAACCAGCTCCTTTTCTTCTTGTCTTCTTCACAGAATCACAGAATAGTAGGGGTTGGAAGGGACCTCTGTGGGTCATCTAGTCCAACCCTCCTGCCAAAGCAGGGTCACCTACAGCAGGCTGCACAGGACCTTGTCCAGGTGGGTCTTGAATATCTCCAGAGAAGGAGACTTAACAACCTCCCTGGGCAACCTGTTCCAGTGCTCCATCACCCTCAGAGGGAAGAAGTTCTTCCTCATGTTCAGACGGAACTTCCTGTGCTTCAGTTTGTGCCCATTGCCCCTTGTCCTGTCGCTGGGCACCACTGAAAAGAGCTCGGCCCCATCGTCCTGACACCCACCCTTCAGATATTTGTAAG